GTTGTTATCAAACATTCTCAAATATAATTTGGTTTATTACCTCCATTAAATATAAACCCATGGCAGAAGAGGAATATGTCATCAATTATGGAATGAAAGTAATAATTTCTCATAGTGTCTTGGTGACTCATGTTCATAGTTTTTATCTATGGTAGTTTTTTTTTTTATTATTATTCTTTATCAAAATTATATGTATTTGATAAATATGGGTCATATGAAACAATTAAATGTAAAAGGTATGATTATACATGAAAAAATTGGGTCAACATTAATCATTAAGTGCATCATAACTCATTGCTATTAATATAGGTAATTGTTTATCATGACAGTTTATCAGACTTTCATACTCAGAATTTGATTATATTTATCAAATTGTGATACTTTTTGCTTTACTGGTCCCTGGATATAAATAGTTCGTTTGAACTGTATAATTAATCTCAAACTATCCCAGAAGAGAATAACAAACAAGTTTGTGATTTCAACCATTGAAGTTGACAGTTTTAATTGTGCATGTGACATCTCTACACAACCTGATTGAAAGCCTATACTGCAGACATTGTATTATTTGTTTATCCATGTATTTATTTATTATTGTGTATGATTACGCCAAACAAACAATCATCTACATTATCTTTGAAAAGGCATTGAATTTGGATTCAATGTTTGTGGTAGTTTAGCAATTAATGCCCAAAACACTTTGTATTTAGAAGTATTGAAAAAAGTCAAAAGACATTGGGTATTTTTTTAAAAAACAAAAAAAATGAATAATGCTCCATACCTTGCAAGTACACCAAGCATACAAGTGTGCATGCTTGCTAATCACCACATCTAGTATGTTTTTTTTTTTGTTCCATTTGAAGTTGTGCAAAAATAGAAACACGGGTTGAATAGCATCTAAAAAAATATAATAAACAAATAGTGTTTCATGTATTCTCATCAACACAAATGACACATACTTAATGCGTAAATAGAGAATGAAAACATCAGTGTTTGCAAAAGCTCCACAAATGTAAATGGCTTTGCTCCATGTTGAAAACCAAGTAGAAATTTAGGGGTTAGGGTTTAGAATGAAGTTTTTGCGAGCACCATGCAAACCGTGTGTGAAAACATATATCTCATCCACAATTGCATATATAATCATCCATCCACCTATCTAACATCCGTCCAGTAGTTTATCATTTTTCGTGTCTCATCCATCCATCAACAGATGCTGTCCAACGATGGATCTCAACACGACCCCCTGTTTTAATGGGCTCAGTCGGTGGGTGGGTGGGTGGGTGTGTTCCCATGGTGGGTGTTCCCATCCACTTCCCTGTTCTCTCGTTCTCTTGAACTTGGTGTTCCCAATCTCCACATCTTCAATAAGTGTGTAGACATGAATCATGTAAACAACTCTTATGAATTCTCTCTCCCCCCCCACACACACACACACATATATATATATATATATATATATACAATAACAATACATTTTCAAAGAATTGCATCAAATATCCAAACTGGTGAAACACATAAAAAATAGTAGCAATGAGAATTAGTTCATGGGATGATTTGTGTGATAAATTGTTGTGGCATTTCATGGTTTTTAATGCACATAAAACATACAAAAAAAAAAAGTAAATAAGGTATGTGAAAAATGTATGATTTGTGAGTTTATTTATAAAGCATGCATCAGACTAAGGCTTTTCAAACACCAAAGAAATTAAGTTGTGTTCAGTATGGTTCATGTGCACTAAAAAAAACAATTGTGTGATAATAAATTTCCTAATTTAAGTACACAAAATTGGTCTCTCTCTTGTTCTTTTGAAGATGAAAGAACCAAAAATAGCATAAAAGTCAAATTTTATTAATACATGTTTATACATACGAAGCAAGTTAATTGAACATGAATCAGATTGAAAGTGAATACTTCTAGAAACAAAACAAGAGAAAGAGTAGTGATACTTTTAGTTTGGAAATAAATGGCAATCAGAACTTCTTTTTTTGCAAAAACATATAACATCTGAAATATATATATATATATATATATATATACATATATCAGTAAAGCGTGGTTTGGTTTCTTATAAAATCCATACATAGCAATGTAAATATTTTATGTAATCAATGAAAATTGCATCTACTAGTAAATTAAAGGAAATTATCCTACAATCAAATTTGTTTTAGGAGTTTTATATGTCGTGAACAAGGTGTGAGGTTGAAGCTATTAAATTTTCGAATTGGATGAAATTAAGAAAATTTACTTAAATAAATAAAAATGCAAACTGTTATGAGGAAAAGTTTAAAAACTAACAAAATAACCTGAGATTAATTGAAGATTTCAGTGTCAAATGAATCTTAATCCGTACATATTCAATAGTTATTAATAAATGTTGATGTGTTCTGTAGTAATGCACTTTATGGAATGAAATTCTCAAGTTACTGTGTTTTAGTTGTGGTTTACTGAGATGTCAAAAGAAAGGCATGACCCAGAAAATGTACAAAAGTACAAAACAAATAGCAAAACACAACTACAAATATAAATTGAATGTTAGGTAGCTTATAATAGAAAAATCAATAAAGCAACTGCACACAGTTTGAACATAAAAAGAATGTGGGTTACTGCTGGATACATTAATGCACAAATTACGAAATATGGACATGATTGACAGATATTTAGTTTTTATTTTTCATTTTTTTTTATTGTTGTACCATTAATTTTTCTGGTTTCCAAGCAACATAAATGGATTCTAGGTTGAGTGAAAATAAAGTATTTTAAAGACTAAGCGTGATGCAAGTCATCCAAATAAGTAAAGATGCATTAATGTAGCATGAGTCTTACAGAAGCTTTAAAAGGCATGTGGACATGAATGAATTGTATATTAGAAAGTATTGAATTTGAGAGTCAAGATTTCCAACTTAAGAAGAAAATTATGTACAATGTGATCATGAGCTTTGATGATGAAAATACTTATTTTTTGATGTGAAATATATGTACACATATTCATATTTATTTATTAAATAACACACAGAAAGAGTAAAAGTGATGCCAAGAAAAAATGCTAGAATTGAATGGATTATATACATTTTTAATCATAGATTAGTCAACACAGGTGTAGTTACAATGGTCATGGAAATAATGTTTTTCTATTATTCACTCAATACACTTTTGCTAACATGCTCATACTTGAACATTGTTGTTATTGGTATACCTTCCTCACAGGCTAAATATGGCTGTCTGCAAAAGGGGGCCATGCTCTGCCTCGGAATGAGACCTCAAGCCAATGAAAACAGATGAAATATCATCCCTAAGGCACACAATTAATAAGGACACAGACTTTATTTGTTTGTTTTTAAATTTATAGATTTGTGTTTTTGATTGCATCAGTGTGATATCAAATCAGTGGATGCAGTGAATCCAAAAGCCAAGCACTGTGGAAAAAAGAAGGAACAACACCCAGAAATGGTCTCTCATCATTTGAGGCTACCCAGCCTTCCACAAGTCCTGTCACTCACACTGATAACAATATTAAATTGCACAACAGACTTGAGCCAAATTTTGTGTTAAATCTCCTATTTTCAAGTGGAAGTACTTGAATGTGAGCCTCCACAATTTCAAACAGGTGAGGTGAACCCACACCCCATTTCATGCTATACAATAAACTGTTTCTTTTAAAATATGAAGTGAACAAAGACAACAAGAATATGAGTGGGTGGTTTAGTGCTATATTTATGTTTTTGTTGCCAATCCATGATAGTAATGTTTTTGAGATGTTTGGTTGTGGATAGAAATGTAAGCAATGTGTGCACCCAGCTTTTAACTTTGTTCTTACTAAGTTATTATGAAGATGAGATTGCACCATATGAACAATTTTGTAGGTAAACATTTAATCAAAAAGATGGAGGTAAGTAACTATATGGTAAAACGTTGAGTAAGAAAAAGACCCCATTGCTACTATTTATAAAACAACTAACATTGTTAGTAACATGGGTGCAGAGGGTTGATGTATCCACACTGTTGATATATTAGGATAAAAAAACAATATAAATATGCTGCTGCTATTTACTGGACAAGGGGGGTGTGCTAAAGCTTTGCAGATATATTTCCTAAGAGAAGAACCCCAAGTCCCAAAGCCTCTCATTCATCCATTTCCCCCCTTGTTCTCCGAGTCCCATTCATCCACCTTTCTACATGCAAGGAAGCCCTAATCTAAGCCCACAAACTCAACTCACAAACCAATCCAAAACTCCCATTTTCAACTAACTCATTACCCACTTTTGTCTCCCTCTCGCTCTCACACACACACTTATCTTGATCTAATTTAGGTTCTCCATTGCAAACACAAGGGTAACACACAATAATAATAACTATAATAATAATCATACTAATAGACAATAAAACTTGTTCATGGGTTTTCCACGATATGAACTATGCGAACAATTAATGAGCAACACCAAACGCTGACCTAGTTTTGATCTATTTTGGCAAAAAAGAGGCGCTGAAAAGGATTATTAGAAAGGGGGGGGAGAGGGATGAAGGAAAGAAAGCTGAGAGACACAAAAGTAGCTTCGGAACCGAAGCAAAGGCTCAGAAAAGGAGGCGTGGATCCAAGACTGAGCCAAGGCGGTGCTACGTCAACTCCGAGCCTACTCCGTTCCGGGAAAGGGGGGAGCTTCGGGGATGGAGGGTCTGCGTGACCCATCCCCCCCCCCTCATCATATAAAAACACCACACACACACTCCATGATACGATACCCGCACTCAACGACAACATCCCTCTGATCTGATAGCCAACTGCTGCAGATAAGTGCAGTGGCCGATACTGATCTGATAAGCGCACTCGGGTGCTAATAACAGCAGTGAAACGCAGGGAGATACTCCGGTTGGCTTATCAAAGCGTCCTCAGAGGCCGGCAGCTCTGCAAGCTAGGATAGGAGGGTCGAAAACGAGGTCGCGTGGTACGAAACGAGAGTAGGGTGGGAGGTCGCTGAGTGAAGAGTAGAAAAGGCCGAGCGTGTCCTCGCGCCGCCCCTCTGCCCTGAGGTTTTCCAATCCTCTTCTTCTTCCTTCTTCTGCTTCTGCCCCATCCCAAGTGCTTCTGGAGAGCGTCGAGTGCATTGTCGTCGAGACCTGGAGGGGCTTCCGACGTGGTTTGGAGGAGCGTGCCGTTGTTGGTTGTTGGTCGCGGACGACTTTTCCTGACATTTTTGTGCCCTTTTTTGAGCCTGGTTTTGAATTAGTTAAGTGGTGTTTGCGAGCGTGTTGGTGGTGGCCACCAGGTGTGGTGGAGCGAGCTCACAAGCAGCACGAGAGCAGGAGATCGATGTGAGCGGGAGGCACGGAGGGAGCGGTGGCTGCTGTGGCGTGCGTTTGAAGGGTTAGGGTGTGAGGCGGACAACGGTGGAGGCGATAGCCGAGGCATCGGTGAGCATGGGGATGTTGGGAGGTTGACCACGGGGGTCAAGGTTAAGAGTTGTGGTTTTCGAGATAAAGCTAGAAAGTGCGGGCCAGAGTCACGCTCGCGGAAGTGGAGAATCGGAGGAGCGAAGGTGCTTGTGAAAGCGTCTTGTGTGCGTTGGCTGTTGGTGGACTGAACTGAGGTTGGCCATTTGTGAGGAAAAATAAAGTAGAGAGGAAGCAAATGGTTAGCGAGGGTTGATGAGGAGTTAGGGTCAGAAGGTGGAGGAGGAGGAGCAGCAGGAGCGTCAGCGGAGCTCAGCGCACAGGGAGTGAGAACCTTAGAACACTATCGTCACACGCTGTCGTGGCATCTGGAGTTGCGACCCCTGCAGGGAGGGGAGAGAAGGTTGTTTGTACCACCTGCAGTATTTCTTGGTCGGATGAGTCGCGGTTGGATATCCTGAAGTAAGGAGGCGGACTTGAGCCTCCATTTCCGAGGTGGTGATAGTATCTATCCTATCTGGGTTTACCTTTTTCAGCATCCATCGTCAGATTTTACCGTCTGTGGGCTCGAGTACATAGTTTGTTTGAAGGCTCAGAACATTGGTGATCTATCCGAAAGGGCGGGAAATCAGGGAAGCGCTTGAACGCTTGGGAGCGCAGGTTGGAGAACTTTGTCGAGGAGGAAAGTTTATTTTAGTTTCTAGTTCTCTCTAGAAAGGAAGAGGATAAGCAGATAAATGAAGGTAGTATTGTAAAAGCAGGCACATATCATCCAGGAGCAAGGTAGCCGATAAGCAGGGAGCAATGTCGTCCTTGAGTAGGGAACTTGTGTTCCTGATCTTGCAGTTCCTTGATGAAGAAAAGTTCAAGGAAACAGTGCACAAGTAAGTCCGCCCTTCTCATTTTTTCGATTTCCACCCCAGAAAATTAACTGATTATTTCCGAGTCTGCGACAATGTACTTCTTCGGTTCTGTTCGTTCATTCACATTTTTTTATTTTCGTATTTGATTTAGTTTTTTTAACCTATAGTAGTACTGGCATGTTAGGGAACTTTCGCAACATTTCCCCTCAATAGTTCTTCATGAATGTCAGAGATTGTTTGTTGACTGAATTGGTCCGTAGTGCAAATATGCAGGTCCTGTTAGTCTATTAGGAGTATTACTTCGAAGATTGTCGTTTTATGTATGGTGTCAATCACAGTGGAATCGCCACTTTTAGCTTTGATAGTATTCAGCAGCTGCACTCTTGTAGTACGTTTGGATGTGGAGATATTGTCGGTAGTATGTTTTAGTTGAGTTGGTGAAGCACCGGTGAGTTGGTGTTCTATCTGCGTTACGTGAAGCTGGTGTCATTTTCAAAATGTGCATACAGACGTTTGTTTCTTCTGCAATCTGTACTGACTGGTTTTATAATACCTTCTAACCAGGTTGGAGCAAGAATCAGGATTCTTCTTCAATATGAAGTACTTTGAAGACCAAGTTCAAGGTGGTGAGTGGGAGGAGGTGGAACGATATTTATCTGGGTTCACTAAGGTGGATGACAACCGCTATTCAATGAAAATCTTCTTTGAGATACGGAAACAAAAGTACCTGGAAGCTCTGGACAAGTACGTATTCAGTTGCATCTCGTTTGGAGTCATTGGGGTGATTCTTAGCAGACTACATTGATTTAAGTCTCGTTCTGGGGGAAGATGTTATCTTGGTTAGAGTTGGTGAGTTGTTACTTTGTTCATTTATCGGATGGGGTTGGTTTGAATTATGATTCAGTGTTTATCAAAAGAGCAGGGCGTAAGGTACGTCTTTGGGGGAGGTACTCACAAGAAACTCATGGTCTCATGCAGGCAAGATCGGGCGAAGGCTGTTGACATACTCGTGAAAGATTTGAAGGTTTTCTCTTCTTTCAACGAGGAGCTCTACAAGGAGATCACCCAGCTTCTTACTCTAGAGAATTTCAGGTTAGGGTCTTCGCCAGCACAATGACAGTTTTAATGGAGACCACATTTTACTGTCAGCAAGTGCATTTCCTGTTATATGTAGCTTCCATTGAAGGGGTTTTGTAGAGGTGCTCAGATAGCCTCATGGAACTATGAGTGCTTGTAACTAAGTTTATCATCACTGCTGTGGATTCGTTTGGTTCAGGGAAAATGAGCAGCTGTCAAAGTACGGAGACACCAAATCTGCTAGAAACATTATGCTTCTAGAACTCAAAAAACTAATAGAAGCCAATCCACTCTTTCGAGACAAGTTGGCTTTTCCATCATTAAAAGCATCTCGCCTGCGCACCCTTATTAATCAGAGGTAATAAATAGCCCATGTGTTCTACCTTGAGCTCCTCAAGATTATCCAGGTGGTGGCTTCTGCTTGTAGTTGAGCATTGTTGGTGGCATGCAACACCGCACTTTGTATTTTCCTTCGAATTCACCAGAGTATTGACATGAAGGATTTTTATGTGTTCGTTTATCTATTTGCAGTCTCAATTGGCAGCATCAGCTTTGCAAAAACCCAAGGCCGAATCCTGACATTAAGACACTCTTCATTGATCACACATGCGGGCCTCCTAATGGGGCTCGAGCCCCACCGCCTGCTAATAATCCCTTGGTGGGTGGCATCCCGAAGCAGGGTGCCTTTCCTCTTGGTACTCACAGTGTAAGTGTGTGCAATTATTATGGATTTCTATTTTCAATTTGCATAATGGTAATGGATCCTCTTACAGTGACAAAAACCCTGATCTGTGATAATATTTCGTAATTGTTCGTAAACGAGCCGAACTGGTTTGCCTTAGAACAGTGCTAGGGTTTGTAGTTGATTAGCGGTCCATTTGTTCCATCTTTTTCTTATCGGTGGCTTTTCTCGATCTCAGCCATTCCAACCCGCACCGCCCTCCGCAAGTTCTTTAGCGGGATGGATGGCAAACCCCAATCCACCAGCACCACATGCTCCAGTTGCGAATGGACCAGCTGCTCTGACTGCTCCCCCTAATTCAGGTTGATAGTTATCTTTTCAGTCTTACTTTGAAGCCTTGTCTCTGGTTCGTGAATAAAGTTCAGCTGTTACTTTATGGTCATTAGCTATGATTAAGATAGTTTATAGTATGTAAGAAGTGTAGGACAACGTATTCATTGTTCTATTCTATGCATATGTTATTAGCTGCATTGTTGAAGCGGCCTCGTACCCCACCAAGCACTACTCCGACTGTGGATTATCAGTCAGCTGATTCCGAGCACCTCATGAAGAGAGCCAGGCCTGGCGTTCAATCAGTTGATGAGGTCAAGACAGTAAGCATCATGATTCATTTATTACTCTTTTTCAAATTGATATGGAATGTTATGTAGCTATGCTTCGTCTTACTCTGTCGGGAGAGATCTTTTCTTGGTTGCCCTGTTGGGTGCAGGCGTCTAGCCGCATGCTAATTTTAATCTCTTTTGCACTATGTCGACGATTTCTGAGGCGGGTTGCGTGACAGGTGTTTGTTCCTGGTGGTACTAGTCATCCTCAGAACAATGTGTCACCTGACGACTTGCCAAAGAGCGTAGCCCGATCCCTCAATCAAGGTTCTTGCGTTATGAGTATGGATTTTCATCCAATCCAGCAAAGTGTTCTTCTTGGTACGTATTTTTACTTTCTATTCAATTTCGAACTCCACTGTTGAATTTGTTACTATTGTGTAGACCATTGATATTCACATGCAAATAACTTGGGATGTTTGTGCAGTGGGTACAAACGTTGGAGATATTGGAATTTGGGAAGTGGGTTCGAGGGAGAAGCTTGCCCAACGAACATTTAAAGTCTGGGACATTACTGCTGCGTCCATGCCCATGCAGGTCAGTATTGTTCCCAATTTTAAATGCAATCTGAAGTTCTTATGACGATAGCTTGTTTTGAACGCCATTCGAATGGGGCACTGGTTTTTTGAAACATGCATTTCCAAATACGCTTTTCATTTCATGCTTTTGAAGGGATTTGCTATTATCGAAGTTAATTGTCTTTGGATGCTATATTTATCTGATTGGTTGTGACAGGCTGCATTGGTCAAAGATCCAGCTGTATCAGTCAACAGAACGGTTTGGAATCCAGATGGCACATTACTGGGTACACACACATTCCCCTCTCTCTCTGTCTCTGTCTCTGTCTCTGTCTCTCTCTCTCCTTTTATTTTATTATTATATTACTAAAGTTTAACATTTATCCATGTACATTGTGGTTGCAAGTCATGAAAACTCGTCATTCGTTCGCGTTCTGAGCAGGGCTGTGCCTGTTTTTCTTACAGGTGTTGCGTTTTCTAAACATATCGTACACATCTATGCTTACAATGGTGGCAGTGATTTGCGGCAACATTTGGAGGTCTGCTTAAATATATCCAGACTTGACTATATCTGTTTTCATTTTTTTCTGACTTTGAGGACTGTTTCCTTCCCCCCCTCTGCCCTCATTATCCACTGTTGACGAATTGGTGCTGATGTGTGTTGTATCAGATTGACGCTCATGTAGGCGGTGTTAACGATTTGGCTTTCTCTCATCCAAACAAACAATTATGTGTCATTACTTGCGGAGATGATAAAACTATCAAGGTGCCCTCGTATTTACTATTTTGTGACCATGTTTAATATAGACCGTGTCTCATGTTCCAGAATACTCTTGTATTGCATGAACAGTGGTATTTGGGCCTTAAAGTTTTTGTATGTTTTTTTAATGGAGACTCTAAGGCTTTTTCCAAATAATCTTACGTGGATCTTTTTCATGGACCTTCTTGTGCATCCTGCAGGTTTGGGATGCTGCAACAGGACGTAAGCAATACACTTTTGAAGGACATGAAGCACCTGTGTACTCTGTTTGTCCTCATCATAAAGAGAGTATTCAGGTTGGATTTTTGTATTTACGTTATTTCTCTCCTTTCCTTCACTGCATCGGTGTTGTTGGGTAAGAAATGTGTGGATGCCTTTTATGTGCTGAAAATTAACCTCTTATTTAAGCTGCCAACGAGGTAGTTAGAAATGTGCTTCTATCTGTACTGCATTGTACAGCATGAGCCCTAAAATTGTTTGAATGGCCTACAATTTCAGTTTATATTCTCAACAGCTATTGATGGCAAGATAAAAGCTTGGCTCTATGATCTCCTTGGATCTAGAGTTGACTACGATGCACCTGGTCATTGGTGCACTACAATGGCTTACAGTGCTGACGGCACTAGGTATTCCAAACTTTAATCTCCTTTCTTACGTTTTGAAGTTATTTGGTGTGCACAACTAAACGCTCTATCCAAGATCAATGTGCGTGGTTTTCTTGTAGCATGTGGACATGTGTAGACTCTTGTGTTGTGTCAATCGACGATTTCACGATGATCAACAACTTCGCTTTCGAATTAAGTTGAGTGAATTTAGGACGTGATGTGTCCATCTTGTATTTGCGACAATGATTTTTGATTATGAATTTTTTCTTTGTGGACGCCAGACTCTTTTCTTGTGGAACTAGCAAAGATGGAGAATCTTATCTGGTGGAATGGAATGAGAGCGAAGGCGCAATTAAGCGGACATACTCAGGTTTCCGCAAGCGATCCGCCGGCGTTGTGCAGTTTGATACGACCCGAAATCGTTTCCTAGCTGCTGGTGACGAATTTCTGATCAAGTTCTGGGACATGGATAATACGAACTTGCTTACTACAATTGATGCAGAGGGTGGCTTGCCGGTGAGTACTGACTGAATAATACCGTCTTATTAAAAGCGACATGTGTGAAGAAGGTACTTAAAAGTTGCAATTGAGACTTCTAGCTGACTGGCACTCTGGCTAGGGAGACTCTCTGGGGTGACTTGAAGTAGTGATTATTGCAGCAAGAACTAGTTTATGAACCTTGAGTGTTTACTTTATGAACCTTGAGTGTTTTAATTAGCTGAAGATCTTATCTGTTGAAGTGCGCACACTAATGTAAAAATATCTTTCTGAGGTTCTCTTGTAAAATCAATCTGACTTGCAGATTGAATGGGTCCGACAGAGATATTCAACCCCAACCTTCTGTACTTTTTGTGATAAATTGTGCAGACACTTGCTAGTAATTATACCATGAATTGACATTCAATTCTTGTGTTGCAGGCAAGTCCACGTCTCAGGTTCAACAAAGACGGCTCTTTGCTTGCTGTCACTACCTCGGATAATGGCATCAAGATTTTGGCTAATCGCGATGGGATGCAGATGCTCCGTGCGTTGGAAGCTCGTGCGTATGATACTAATCGAGTTCCTCCGGAACCTGCTGTTTCTAAGGTTATCTGAAACGTTTCTTACCCTTGTCTCTACATAACGTTGAAAACTACTTGAGGATTTTTTAACGAACGTACACTAATTAAATCGAAAGCCATTTACTTCTGCTTCAGCGAGTGACAACATAGTCTTCGCTCAAACAAGGCTTGAATATTTTATGTGATAGTCGAAGAGTCTGACTACAGTATTTCCAACAAGCAAGCTTAACGGGCAACCAAACCGCCAACGAATGTTTAGCTAGTGTTTGCGCTAATCTGTCAAAGTGCATACCTACTGCAGCCGCCAGTCGGAAATGCACTTGGGGTCGTGAGCACCCCAGGTGGCGGCGGTGGGGAACGACCGAATTCTTCGTCGATGGCTGGGTCCGTTATGGATGGTCCAACCCTAAACATGGGGGGATCAAGGGTCCGACCACGAGAAAGGGTCGGCAATGACCATGTACATTTTCGAAACATGCACACAACATCTTGTCAAAACAGTATTTCTGGTCTTTGCAATTTTGAAGTTCACGTTTTAGTCTTCTTAGTATAACACATCAGTGTGTGCGATTTTACAACATGGCTTTTCTCCATCTTGTTGTACAAGCCGCTTATCAATACTCCTCCTCTGAGTCAGTTCCTAACTTGCAGCTTGAAAATATTGTTATTGCTTGGAACTGGTTGATACCAGAGCTAGAACCCCACAAGTTAATAATTGACAGACAAGGCGATTTGTATTGGTAATTCCAGACTTGTGTGTACAAACATGCCTTTCTTGTTACTGCTGTCTTCCTATATCTGATTAATGACCACTTGGAGTGTTGAACGAAAAGCGAAATGGTTTTTGTGCAGTCTGGTATGGAAGGAGGGCGCACACCTGAGACGAAACCAAGAATACCTGACGAAATCCCAGACCGAAGCAAGAGCTGGAAGCTGACAGAAATAACTGAGCAGAATCAATGCCGGACAATAAGATTGCCCGACAGCCTGCCTCCAAACAAGGTCTGATGTCTCTTCTAACAATATTGAGTTATGTAGAGTCCTCCACGATTTCAAGTTCTTCTTAACTATATCCCTCCCAGTTTACAACAGTAATGCATGAGTGCTGGTCATGTACTTTGCATCAAGCTTGTAGTTGACAATTCGTTGATGGTGGCTACAGGTTGCAAGGCTTATTTACACGAATGCAGGAGTTGCTCTGCTGGCACTAGCTTCGAATGCTGTGCACAAGCTTTGGAAATGGCAACGAAACGAGCGGAATATAAATGGAAAGGTGTGATTTTGTTATTTGTTTCGTCTTTGGTTGCTTTTGGGCACTGCCTATTCATTTGGTCTCTAGTCTTTGGTATAATATTCCTGAATACTAGTCTTATAATTGTCTTAATTAAAATTTTCAGGCTACTGCAAGCGTTTCCCCACAGTTGTGGCAACCTGCCAGTGGTATTTTGATGACCAATGACATCAGCGAAACCAACCCTGAAGATGCTGTGCCTTGCATAGCGCTATCGAAGAATGATTCTTATGTGATGTCCGCCTCGGGAGGAAAAGTCTCTTTGTTCAATATGATGACATTCAAGGTAGAGCTTACGAATTTAGACATTGGCTTTCTCAGCTGATGAACTTGTTTATGAAACAGCGATGCATTTCTGGCTTCTAGGAAGTTCGCTTTGTTTCTTTATCTTATCTGTATAACTGAATGCACGAATCCTTTATTAAAAAAATTGAAGCCATTTTTTATTATTAAAAAATTACTCTGCTGGTGATGCTTGAACATGGCAGTTCTGACAGTTGCCTTCGGATTGTGATTCAGGTCATGACGACATTCATGCCGCCACCTCCAGCAGCTACTTTTCTTGCGTTCCATCCCCAAGACAACAACATCATTGCCATAGGAATGGAGGATTCAACAATACAGATTTATAATGTTCGTGTAGATGAGGTATTTTACCAGGCCGTTCTTTCTTTGTGATCTCCCGTACCTATGTTGATTTGTATTCGTCAGTTTGTATTCTAGATCCCGAATAATGTGCCTAATTAGAGCTTTCTGCTGTTGGCAGGTAAAGAGCAAGTTGAAGGGCCATCAGAAGAGAATCACTGGCTTGGCGTTCTCCAATACCCTCAATGTGCTTGTATCATCAGGGGCGGATGCTCAGGTACATATTAGGTCATTAGTCGTATGTAGGGGTCGATTTGCGGTATTTTAAATTTATTTTGTTGAGCTCTTATTTGTCTTTGGACTGGAGGCTGTTTGCTGACATGTTTTTTTTTTGTTGCAGTTGTGTATGTGGGGAACAGATGGCTGGGAGAAGCGAAAGTCTAAGTTTGTGCAAGTTCAGCCTGGTGGGAGATCACCATCTATGGGAGACACCCGCGTTCAATTTCACAACGATCAAGTTCGACTTCTTGTTGTCCACGAGTCACAGTTGGCTGTGTACGAGGCCGCAAAATTAGATCGTCTTCGCCAGGTCTGCTTCTTTTATCTCTTTACCTCGACACTATTACATTGTGTTGTCAGGTCGAACTGCTTTCTAGGAATGCACCATCTAAACAAGAGACTGATTTGATTACTGTGTCTTATTGGACTAATCATCTTCTCATAAGCTTTTGCTTGGCTTTATGCAGTGGGTCCCTCAAAACCCCTTCCCAGCAGCTATTTCGAATGCCACCTACTCATGCGACAGTCAGCTTATTTATGCGGGCTTCGTCGATGGCTCTGTTGGCGTCTTCGATGCTGAAAGCTTACGACCACGATGCAGGCTTGCCCCATCTGTGCACATACCTCCGGGAGTGAGTGGGTATGTAATCTGCACTGATTTGAAGTATTGTATTTCATCCGATTCAGATGCACCTGTATACCAAATTACTTAGGTGGATTCATGCATCATCTTGGAACACAGTATGTTTTTGTTTCGTTTCTTTTTTGTAACGTCTGACTTGAAACTAATGATTTTTGTTGGTGTTGCAGATCGACAGTTTACCCCTTAGTGATTGCTGCGCATCCCGCAGAGCCAAACCAATTTGCATTGGGCTTGAGTGATGGAGGTGTACAAGTAATAGAGCCACTAGAATCTGAGGGGAAATGGGGGACGGGGCCCCCTGCAGACAATGGAACAGCTAGTGGTGTACCATCTGGTCCTGCTTCTGGCAACCAAGGATCAGACCAAACCCCAAGATGATGTACAGTTGTGACTACAAAGAGCTTTTGTAGCAGTTGTAGCTGCGCAGCTTACAATTGGGGGACTGTACCTCTTTCTCAACATATGCATGCAAGGCCCATGATTTCTTCTGTTTGCAAGATAGTGAAGATGGGTCTATTCTTGAGTTCCAGAGACTGATTCATGGCCTGTGGCCTGCGACCCGGGGTTTGGATTCATTTTTGTGAGCTCGTTGTAGAAAAAAAATGAACCGGAGGCGAAGGCCACGTAGTCTAGGTCTACTATGCGTTTGGTGAGTACTTGAAATCGTTGGTACGAAAGTTGACCTGATATTGGGTTAGGGGGAGGTAAGGAGATGTTATTTGTACAGAAAAATGTTTGTTTCCATCAATCACTTTTGGATAAAAATTCTCCTTTCGAATTCGATGTTTGAGTTGGAATTGTTATTTTGGCAAGTTGGAACTGCATTCATTTTATGGATGCAAGCATTTCTCATGTATTACTTTTTCACCTGTGTTTGTATTTGTTCTTTGAAAACTTCCGTTGTACTTATGGCTACTGCTAAGTTTTGCGAAAAACATAAAAGACTTGATTCTTGATCACTGTATTTGATCACTCTTCTGCTATTTCCTTTTGCGCGCTCACTATGTTTTGGCACTCGTGTGTCGTTTTCTCATTCCGTCTAATTTCCAATTGGCGAGGTTCTGAGGAAGGGCTGCTTTGACACTGCTGGGCACAAGAAACTGGAGATTGAAACGTATTCTTATCGTTAGTCTAACAATGTGTGAAGTACTCACAAACGTCCTAGTTTGTGAAGCGCTCACAATATGTCCTATCAATCGCCGATCGCATATTTGTAGTAGCGGAATGCAAGTAAAATAGCATTACAAACTTAGCATAGCAAATTTCCTATCTGAATACGTGTCATCCTGAAGCTTTTAGTGGCTGACGGGCCCACCCTGTGGGTAGTTTGTGAAGTCGCTGGCACTGGTAATTAGGGCTTGAAGCTACTTGCACAGTCACCTCATGAGTCTCGCCGACTCATGAGCTAAGCAATTGGAGGTAGTAGATTGTGGTTCTAGTTTAGTGAGGACTTCTGATGACTAAGGCAACTGCTGCAGCGTGCACTGGGCTCACCACTACCGCTGCTGCTTCTGCTGGGCCGTCAAGGCTTTACATCGAGAATATCACTTGCTCCTTTATTTCATCAGGTGCCTGAAAACCACTACACAAAATAAGACAAAATAAGACAAAAACCTAGACAGCCGTGAAAAGCTTCCAAACGGTAAACACCGAACACATTGACACAGTCAGACCTGCTCCTGCTTCTCCTCTCACAAAAGACTGTTGTACTGCTTTACCCTGATCATATGCTTCATTTTGAAAGAGTTCTCCTATCTTCGGTTTCACTTTCTTCTAAGAAAATAGTTTAGCTTCTACCTATGTCTCGGTACAGTTTCTGCCCAATTACCATCTACCAGAACTGGAATGATTATCCCTATTCAATGGGGTTTAAGTCTATCTTCGGATATGAGGTACTGTCTCCAAGTTTGTCAGAACTCACGGATAAGACCAGAAGCGTTATTTCTTATTTTGTTTTGTTTTATTTTTTCTTTTTTTCTTTAAAGTTTTTTTTATGTTCATTTTTATTTTTATTTTTCCTGGTTGAACATACGGTACACTGTTTCATTGAGGGAGCCTGATGTTAAGGAGGAGGACAGAACTGCAATCGCAGAAACGCCCAAAGAGGAAACCTCAACTCAGACTGTCACAGCTCAGAAATTTAGTAGCGGATTCCTTCAAGTCCAGTTGATGGCCAAGTACATTCTGTAATATATTATCATGGAGCCTTGCTTGCTTGCCTTTGTTGTTTTTGGGCATGACTGGGGCAAATCATGCCGAAATACGGATATGGCAGCGTGTTAGTCTGCTGCTGTTGTAAGGCCCCACAAGCCCCTGGTTGCCAGTCAGTTTGTGAATTGTCAGTTCAGATAAAAAAGGGTTCCCACAAGGGTGTTGTAGTTTGACTCTTAGAGTTGCAGTTTGACATGTGATGGATTTTTTATTTTATTTATTTGATCAAGTCTTTATACTTAATTTAACGTTGTGAATACTAAATTGAGTTCAATTTGCCCATATTTCCAATTGCAGCAAGGCTAGAATTGCCAGTCTACAACTAGGATTACGATGGTTAAATTTTGGCATTTTCTTTTTTACCCCCACAAAGCCCAAATTGTATCTGAAAATTGAACACCACCGCATTTGCTTTTTTTTTTTTTTTTTTTTTTTTTTTTGGGAGTTTTGCCTTATAGTAGAGTGATGTTAGGTTTGGCATGAGTGCCATTTTCATTTTTCTTAAAATAGGACTATAGTGTTTAATCAATTTCTTGAAACAATGTATTATCATATTTCCAAGATTTAGGATGGTTTATATAATTTGAAGATTTTGAATTCTCCAAATCCACATCCAAGATTTTTTAGAAATTGATTTCAAGTTTTTTTTTTCTTCATTTGTGGGTATCAAAGAAAAAAAATAGTCATTACAGAAATTGTTCTTTAGAAAAGCCAAAAGAAACAATGATTAAACAATATGTTACAGGATTGCAAATGCCCTTTATTAGTTCTTCAATTGAAATCAATACACATTATTTTAATAATAATAATTAAATATATTTATTACTTTATTCAAAATGAAATTGAATATTATTATATTTTTATAATTATAAAATAAAACAAAATAAACTTTAGAACACAACTTCAAATGCAGTTTATAGCTTTTAAGCCTATACTTTATGTTTTAGTTGTTATGCTTTAAAAATAATGTTCTATCTTCCTCCCATCCCACCAACAAATTGTATTCTTTAAATTTTTTTTGTATTTGAGCTCTCTAATTCTTTGTTAAATTTATTACTCACACATTCTTCTACCATACCACCTCTTCCTTTCAAAAATATTATTTTTAAATGGAAAGAATTGTTCTTATTTTGCCTCATAATGTGAATGGAGTATGATTATAAACAACTAATGATATTCATCTAATAAATTTTCTATAAAAATATTTTTTTCCATCAATCCATAGTAGCAAATGTTAAAAGCAAAGCTTGGTTACAAAAGAAAGTTTAATTACCTAATCACAATATATTTTACACCATAAAAAATACTGTATTCTAAGTAACATATACCAATAGAACATACCAATTACCATCTAATTTAGGGAAAATATCATACATTCCCCTGAAATATGTTGAAATTTCAAGAATACCCATGTATTCTTGATAACTGCAAATCTACCCCTCACTTTTATCATTATTGCAAAAATGCGATTAGAATTGATAAGTTATAAGAACAGTTCTGTTTTAGTTGATTTCGGGGCCCAAACCGTAATTTTGACTTGCATTGGCGAAATTATCAGCTATGACTTCGGGATCCTGCCTTACTCTGTCACTCAATACGTAACTGGAGCCTTCATTTTGTTTGTGTCTGCCGAAGTTCTCGAAGGTAGGTCGCATAAATGCACTTTGAGTGGCTCCCTAGCTTTCAATATACTATCAAAAATCTGAAGCTTTCTGTCAAGTTTCAAATGCTCAATGCCAATTTACTTTCCTGAATTAGGACTTATGTTACATTTCTTTGTTTTGATTGAGTTCTGATTTGCAGGAGTGAACTTGTGACTACTATCCAAAGTCATGTCGTCACGCTTGTCGCGAGGAACTTATAACTGAGGCAGTGACGTTAGCCAGTGTCATTTCTGATTGCGCCATCACTCTTATAGGATACCATAGGCAAGACATGCTTTTGAATGCTACGATGTTTCCTACCTTAATCATTTGTATCTTGGCCGTTGTGAGCACCTTGTGGACCTACAACTCGTTAAAAGGTTCTGTAGGCCTAGCCGTCTCAACGTAGCAAAAGCTCCGGTAACATTGTACACACTGATATACCAACAATTACCATGTAAATTTTGGGTCTCATTATTATGCAACTTCACGCAAACTTAGAGTTTACTTGGCAGACGTGCCTTCGTGGTTTAAGCCAGCTTTGTCAAGAGTGTCTCCAAGAGATGTTCTGAAAAACGTTTGATGCCACCAGTTGAATTCTAGAACTGGGTATTTATATACTTGTTTTGACAAAGCAAGCTTCTCTCATGACTGATTCACCGACGACCTGGAAATCATATGTCTAAAATCAGCCTTCAATTGTTCAATAACTTATCGAGATAACACCCCCGACCACGACAAATGGAACTGTTGCAATCCATATCGAGTTTCTTGCAGCACGGTTTGTAAAAAGCAACCAACGACTTTATCACTTTCGTACCCTCCATTGTTTTGCAATGAACAATGCAGATGAGTACTAGTGATCCACCTCCCTTTTTGTATTGCGGCGCACACATGGAGTCCGAGAGCTTGAGAAGGCCGGTGCGTGCAGGCGCGGTGGTCTCCCCCATCGCGGTTGAGGAGGAAGGTGATCATCATGGGCAGTACGAGGGCAGCGTAAACTTGTGACGGCAGCAGCGGAGGGGTGCTGAAAGTGTTCCCAAAAGTGCCGCGCTGAAAATGGAGCGGCACGCGGTTTGGCCCCCGAAATCAACTAAAACAGGACTGTTCTTATAACTTATCAAGTCCAAGCGCATTTTTGCAATTATGATAAAGTGAGGGGTACATTTGCAATTATCAAGAATACTTGATATTTCAACATATTTCCCTCTAATTTTTACCTTGCATAAATATATTTACAAAAAAAATAAAATCTTGCTTTAGAATTAAAATGTACTAATTAATAAATCTAAGAAACGGTAAAATCATAAAAAAATTATTTCTTGTAAGCCCCAAGTTTATTTTATTTTATTCTTATTATTATAAAGCCCCTTATTTGAAGCTTTGATAATTAATTAGTTTATTTGCAATCAATGTTTTTGAGCAACGCAGACGGGTCAAGTGGACGATAATAGGCACCGAAAGAGAAAATGGGAGATCCATCACCGCGGCCGCTGCCGTCACCTGACGCAGACGCTACCCACAGAGCCGCGACGTTGCGGTGCGTCACAATGGCGGCGTGACACCATTTGCGGCCACCCCACACTGTGCCCATAAAGCCATTGCGTCGCTGCGGCGCAACATGAGCTTCACAGGGCATCCAGGACCGTCACGGACCCAGCCCAAGCCCATTTCGGTGATCAGGATCGCATGTCACCGAATTCGTCTGCTCGCGCAGTCTAGGGTGGAGGTGAGAATTTGTTGATTCTTTTGAGAAGTGGTCGTTTTGAATAAGGGTTTGCAGCAGGTTTGAGTTGCAGGATTTTTGGGGTGTTGTTCGTTTTGTAGAGAGGTGGACTTGTGGGATGAGTTTTAGGGGGAGGTGATAAGAATCTGGAGATAAGATGAGATGAAATGATACGAGAGAAATTTTTCTTTGGGAGGAGTTTTGTGGATCTTGTAAATGTTGGGAGTAATGTGGTAAGCGTGAGGGTGTTTACGTAGTTTGTGTTGTTATTTTTTCGAGTGGACGGTCTTGATGAAGTCGATTTTTATTTTTATTTTTATTTTTTGTGTACATCTAGGGACACTATGGTGTGGGAGCTTGTGTTATTGGGGTGCGACGCGCTGGCCGCTTGGTGCTCGCTCATGGCAGCTATTGGGTTTCTGACCCTCGTCGGAGGGGTTTTCGTCTCCATAGCCTTCGTACGAAATGCAGCGAACACGCCCACGAGGTTGTCCTCTCCGAAGAGAGTTCGCATTATCACTCATCCCAAGCTGAAGCCCTCAATCAAGCTGTGATCCATCAGACTCCTTGCAATTTTCTGCAGGTGTTTTTTGGGAGGTGGTTCTGTGTACATACTTCGAGTAGCTTCTGTGCAAAGCACTACATTCATTTTACTATGTAAAAACACATCATACAGCAAGCAGTATTTGAGTGAACTTCCGCTTCAAGCAGTGTTTGTTGGTGGTCCAGTTTTGTGAAATTTTTCCAGGGTACTCGGTGATTCCTTGACATTGGGACGTATGCTAATAACCCAACTAAACATGCATGCGACACTCTCTTGCGAAGTCTTCCAGTCGGTTACCCCTCTGTATGCATGGTAGTAACATCATACAATAACTGCCGGCATGAGCTTTGAGGATTTTCTCGAAATCCGGCGGTGATTCGAAAACCCTCCCATGGCTGTACGAGACCCGATTAATTTGGGCGTGGTTTACGATGCAAAAACTTTGGGCGTTTGTGTAGTTCTTCGAAGGTGCTGCATGCCAGCCACTGGTGCAGGAGGATCTATGCATCCGCTTTTCTCGGCGAGTTTCCATTCCTCACCATTGACCTAATGCAAAAGGCCACCACGTGGAGAGGGCTCTCCACATGCCCAGCTAAGTGCGAAGGTGCTGCTGGTGTCTGTGGTCCTGACAGCGTGTGCGCGTTTAGCATCTCATAGAGTCTTCACATGGGAACTGATTAATCAAAACTATTTTCAGGGCACAGATTATTATGCAGCTGTGTGGTTAGTCACCACCGTCATGCTGTTAGCGGCACCAATCCAGGCCGTATTGCGCCACTCCACTGTAATTGATTCTGGCAGATAGAATCGACAAACTTCTTGTAAATGCTGCGGAAGTATTCAACTTGGCAGCAATACTAACTGTTCGAATGTATCCATAAATGCAACAATTTGCCATATTGGTCCCTTTCAACATGTGATAAATTGCTAGTGATAATAATAATATGCTACACAACTTCCCAAACTGCCTTGAAAAGGAAGCAAAAAAAATTTAAAATGCTTGCTTTAGATGTTGATGAGGTGTCTTGTATTTTTGTGACACATTCATTATTATCATCAAATAATAAATTGGAACAGTCCTAAACCAGTGATCATCGAAGAATAAACATGGGTTAGACAGTAGATTCCAATGAAACCTGTAACTGAGACTCTCGTGTGAAATTGTTTTGATAAATGTATTGTCCATAAGAGAGGATTTTTTTTTTCTTTCTTTGTTCTCTAATACAATCCTGAGATTATTCTACTCAGAGAGAAAGAAATAACCACCAGAATGAAGTTGAATAAACGGCCATGCTCTACAGTCCTAAGATTCACTTTTTGAACCCTTGTCTTAAGCGAGTGCCAAAAACAGGCATTATTGCGAGCCCAATCCACCCAAAAAAAAAAAAATCCATCAAATATATTCTTCAAAAGAAGAAACACCTCAACTCCATTGCTTTGATCCATGTTGAGAATGTTTAGAAAGACACAAGAGTAATAGTAAGTCATACACACACACGAGTAGTAGTAAGTCATACATACACAAGGGTTTCTAAGGAGAGAGAGCTTCACACACACAAAAATCTATTGATCTGGTTGTGTCTCGTACACAAGAAGAGAGAAGATAAGAGGATGAACAGTACTTCTCCACTAGACTCTAAATACTGTAGCTACAATAATTACTATAGTCTACAGTAAATATTATGGAGAGCGTCGGCTACATTTAATGATCTCAACACTCCTCCTCGCTCATCATAATATTTACATAATATAAGATTTATATAGATTTATGATCTATACTTTTCTGTGATCTTGTAAGATCAAGAATTGTTGCCTCATTAAAACCTTATCTAGGAAAACCTTATTTTATTTAAGGACAAAACCATAGATGAAGGAAAAAGAGTACAACATTATTTTCTTTAATTATTTAAAGAGCTCTTTAACTTTCTTATTCAAGAAAAGCAAGTCACTGCATACCAATGCCATAAGTAAGTCGATGATGATTGCTTAATGGGAGAGCTTTGGTGAAGAGATCAACAAGATTATTTGTAGATTCAATTTTCTTAATTATAAGTGCTTGATCAGTAATCACGTCATGAGTATAACTAAAATACTTGGGATCAATATGCTTTGTCCTGTCACCTTTAATGAAACCAACTTGCATCTGTGCAATACAAGCACTATTATCTTCATGCAAGATAATTGGAGAATCATCATATGAAAATCCACAGGTTGTTTGAATGAATTTATCAATTGATCGCAACCAAATACATTCTCGAGATGCTTCATGTAAGGCAATAATTTCTGCATAGTTGGATGAAGTTGCAGTTATTGTTTGTTTCACTGATTTCCATGATATTGCAGCTCCATGTCTTAAAAATACATATCTTGTTTGAGATTTAGCTGTTGCAATATCAGATTTATATCCTGCATCACAATATCCAACCAATTTTGGATCTGCAGATTTTGTGTAATATAATCCCAAGTCTTCAGTACCTTTTAAATAACGTAATAAATGTTTGATGCCATTCCAATGTCGTAGTGTTGGACGTGCACTATGTCTTGCAAGAACACTAACTGTAAATGTAATATCTGGTCTTGTAGATGTAGCTAAATACAAAAGTACTCCAACCGCTGCGAGGTATGGATATTGGTCTCCCAATATTTCCTCCTCCTCCTCGCATGGACGGTATGGATCATGACCATCACGACCACGTCCAACCATTGGTGTGGACAATGGATAAGCATCATTCATATTAAATCTTTGCAAAATTTGTCTAATATACGTTAGTTGGTAGAGAAAAATGCTACCATCTGTAAGATGCATAATCTGAAGACCAATGCAGAAAATTATTTTTCCTAGTATTTTCATCTCAAATTCACGTATAAGTAGGTTTGTAGCTGTAACACATGTAGTTGTAGTGTCCACTAGGTTAAGATCATCAACATATACAGCGATGATCACAAAACCAATTTTATCTCGTTTGATAAACAAAAAAGGGATTAGTGGATCATTTATAAAATTATTTTTAATTAAATAATCTTGAAGACGTTGATACCACATTCGTCCGTATTATTTTAAATCATACAAGGCCTTACATAATTTAATACCACAATATTTTCTTGGAGCGGGTTGATTTGGAGTTCCTGTTTCTAAGCCAGGTGGAACTTTCATATAAATATTTGCATCAAGAGAACCATATAGATATGCAGTAACTACATCCATCAGATGCATATCAAGGGTGGCATGAACTGTCATTCCAATAATATATCGAAATGTAATTGAATCCATGACTGGAGAATATGTGGATTCATAATCAATGCCAAATCGTTGAGAAAATCCTTGAGCAACAAGACGAGCTTTATAGCAGGTTATTTGGCCTTGAGCATCTCGCTTGCATATTAATACTATTTTATATCCCACAGGGCGAGATGTAAGAGTGTCTACAATTGGACCAAAGACTTTCCTCTTACGCAAAGAGGCATACTCTTTCTCAATAACAGTTTTCCATTTTGACCAATTAGAGCGACGCATCGCCTCTTCGATGGTTTGAGGTTCAGAATCATCTTCCTCACAAGAAAAGGATTCTATAATCATATATGCAAATGATTCATCTACCGTAATAGATGGTCTGTCCCAAATATCATCTATAGCACAATACAGAATAGATAATTCTTTATTCAACTTGTTCTTATTCCTTCCAATTCCAAGATTGTTTTTCATAGGAATTAAAGGTACATTATGCATGGATATATCATCATGAATTGGTAGTCTTGCAAGATGAGTGGCAATTTCTTGAAAAATAATACCAGGATTAGTTAATTTTATAGCTTTCTTCTTACGTGGTTGCTTATCTGGTCCACGAGTTCTTTTAGTTGTTGTTGTTATAACTTGAGGTATTGTAGTCAATGGCACTGCAATCTGAGTAGGTGCATTTCGAGCCTCATTAATAGGAACTCTTGTAATTCTAGGTACATCATTGAAGCCATCAGGTGTTTCATCCGCGGTCTGTTTTAAATGTAAAATCTTAGCAACTTCAGTTTCTGCCAAAGATGTCCTAAGATCATGATTCATTGTAAATATTTCTGGTGCTTCAAATATGAGTACTTTATTTCTTTGTTGATTGGATACTCCTCTTTGAAGAGATGGGAATACAGTTTCTTCAAAACGAAAATTTTGCAGGCGTGCACGTAATAATGTGCCAGTTGATGGATCAACAATACAAATAATGCTTGGTGAATCAAAACCAACATATATGCCTTCTTGTCGATGAGCTCCAATGATACGTCGTTGAGGTTCTGGTACTGGAATCCAAGCACGGCAACCAAATACTCGTAAGTGAGATACATTTGGAACACGACCCGAAATGAGTTCGTGTAGTAAAACAGTTTCAAGAGAAGAAGGGCGGAGGCGTATTAATGCTGTAGTATGTAAAACTGTATGACCCCACATAGATGTAGGTAGATTTACATGAAGGAATAGTGGCTGCGTAATGAGTTGTATATGCTTTATAAATGACTCTGCAAGTCCATTTTGAGCATGTTCATATGAAACACAATATGTCAATTCGATTCCTGTTGCAGTACAATAGTCTTCAAAAGACTTTGATGCAAATTCTTTTGCATTATCCATACGCAATGTTTTTATAGGATAATCAGGAAAATGTGCCCGAAAGCGAATAAGCATAGATATAAGATTGGCAAACACCATGTTTTGAGTTGATAATAATGAAACATGTGTCACGGCCATAATCATGTAAGCTAATAATTACATATAGAAATAGGTAGAAGTAAGTAAAAGTAGATAAAAGTAAGTTAATTCTATAATATTTAATATAGAAGCTTCCTAGAAACTTCCTAGACACTGCTTTGACTTCATAGGTGTCTTTAATTGACTTTTTGGATTAGAAACGTAGTCAACAAGTTGGCCATGTACCACACATGTTGTTAGCTTGAAGAACAAGCTAACTATGTGGCCCACACGTAGAAAAACTTGCCTTGTAAGTCAAGGCATGTGTCCTACAAAGTCAACACATATTGGAGGTCCTATAGAACGTCGCCACGTAGCCCCTAGTTAGATAGTATATATAGAGACAAGAGTGAAGGCTTCTTCACTCTTATCAACTCCTTTCTTGCTTCTACTCTAGTTTCAAGGGTCTTTAGTTTTCTTGTCTTTTGGCAATA